CTCTTCGGATGTTTATATTGGAAAGAGTCCCTACCCCCCCCCATCCTCTTGCTTCTCTCGGAAAGAGTCCCTACCCCCCCCGCCCCTCTCCGTCCCATCATCTTGAAACAGAAGTGACTTGAACCCATAACAAAAATAATTTGCATTATTTAATCATTGAGAAGATGAATTTGCAAATTAGAAGACGAGTTTGCAAACTAGAAGGTGAGTTTGCAAACTAGAAGGTGAGTTTGCAAACTAGAGGGTGAGTTTGCAAACTGATTTTTTGTGCATTGCATTCTATTTGCAGACATAAAGTTGTGCATCGCATTTCATTTGCAGATATAAAGGTGTGCATTGCATTCTATTTTGCGCATTGCATTCTATGTTGCTTTGTGCATTGCATTCCATTTGCATTTTATGTTTGTACAAGCGTCACATACGATATATGACTTGAAGTTATGCTAAAATAGACATGTTTAAAAAAGGGACGTCCGAAATCATCCCCTAGCCATATTGCCATATATCATATATCTATATTATATATATACATGTGTATATAGGGTACATGCATATAGGTATATTTACGAACTGGTAGAAAAACTGTTTTGCAACTGCAGAAAAACTGGTTTGCAACATATTCCCTTACTAACCATCATTTCAGTGACGCTGCGGTCGGGTTACTACAATTTGTAGGTGTATATATATATATATATGCTATACCCTCTGGTAATTTAACATAGCTATTGAAAATGACCATTTATAGTGGATTTTCCCATTAATCATGGTGATTTTCCATAGCTATGTTAAATTACCAGAGGGTATCTAATCTATATAATCTATCGATCTATTTATCGCTTGATCTATCCATCCATCTACCTATCTATCGATTGTATTCATCCACCCGTTCATCCATCCATCCATGTATCCATCCATCCATGCATCCATCCATCCATCCATCTATCTATTTATTTCTATTTATCTACTTAAAATATTATACGCACAATGTCACTTGGGTATACGTGGGCTGTATTCTTTAGACGCTTAGCCGTCACTCATACGTTTGGCGAAACGTTTCTGTTCACTCTTTCATACAAGACAAACACTTTAGACTTTAGACGCTTGGCCGCCACTCAGACTTTTGGTGAGATGTTTCTGCACACTCTTTGATACAAGATAAATACGAGTACAGATAAGTCAAAGCCCGCCCAATAATGTTACCATCATTTATACCCTCCGGTAATTAACATAGCTTTTGAAAATCACTATTTTTAACAGGTAAATAATCTATATATGGACCATTTTCAATAGCTATGTTAATGTTAAATCACCATCATTTTTATATCCAGTGTCTCCCCATAAAATGATTGGCCAATCTGTCGGCCCATCTCAGCACCTGAAGGCAAGTCAACACAGCGGTGAAGCACCTCACGGCGGCATCGTGGTGGCCGTATCCGTTGGTTTCCTAAAATGGGAGATCTCCGAAATGGATGGTTTAAAGGGAAAATCCTACTAAAATGGATGATTTGGGGGTACCCCCCATTTAAGGAAATTGTTTGGGAAGCCAGCGGTTTTGGGGCACCCAATTTCAAGAAGTTCGAAGCATTCCCTGCCGATTTACAGTGAAAGACACCGATCTGAGAAGCGAACAGCCAGCTCACCTCTGGTAGTGAAGCCAAACCTCTCACCCAGAAGCATAGATAGACCCTCTGGTGCGGAAAATTTGGAGTACCCAATCTGGGGACCTCAAGAGAGGTCTGAAAAATCTGAAAATAGGCGACCCCATGACATAGTTACCATTTTCCCCACTAGAATTGCCACTGGTAAATCAAACTTCGACAGACCCATGATATCCCCATGAGGTGGTGATTCTCACGTAGATTTCTTGGTTTGAAATCCCGGGACGTAGAGTCACCCCAAAACCAGAGAACATGTTAAGCTGACCACTACTGTAGTGCAGGATTTACGGTTCTAATATATTTTTCAGAATTGTTCAAGGTTGTTCAAGGTTATTATAGTATTATGTCATATCTAAATCAGCCCTTCCCCATAATATCAAATACCCCGAAAGGAAACCCTGGTTTTTTGTATTTGGTTGCTTCAGTTTGAAGGCCCATCTCGCTCGATTTAGCCTTCGCAACTGCGTCTTGGTGAGATCCAGTTTGGTGGTGCTCAGGATAAAGCCGATATGTCCAGGAGATAGACAGGTGACCTACACGGAGTCGCGGAGTCGAAACATCTCACAGGAATTGCTTGGCAAAAAATGGGAAAAACATGGGGAAAAATAAATCGATCAGAACCCGCTCGTTTGGGTCTGACAATCATGGCAAGTAAATTAGAAAGCCTCATTTCCAACAGACTACACGCAGAAGGCACTAACCAAAGATGGAACGCAGAGCCAAGCCAAGAAGCCAAGAAAAGCATAGAAAAGCCACGCGAAACCCCAGCGTTACGCAGGCCACAGAAGTAAAGTAATGTTGGTAGAGCAATAATAAACCATCCCCAAAATCACCATAAATGGGTTCTGTAAACCATCAAAATTAAGGGTGGTGTATTGTTGCAACTTCCCAACTTTTTCAAAATCGGCCGTGCCCCCCATGTTTCTTGGTTCCCGAGCCGATTCGGGATAGCAGTTGGTTGGCCCCTGCCCACCGCGCACGTTGGCCGCCACCGCGAAGCAGGCGACCGGCTTCAACTTGCCCTGGCAGGGGAAAATGACCGGGCACGACAAAAATAAACCTGCCATTCCGGGATGGTTTCTAGCACCTATTTATATTATAGTAAATTTGGGTATGGTATAATTGGGTTTATACCAAGGTTTACCACATTACTAAGTGTTACTGTACATAGTTTTACATGTTATATCATATCTGTGTTGTATAATTAATATATATATATACATATACACAACATATATATATATATGTATATGGTATATACATATGGTACAGCCCAGCAACCCCTCCTCCTCGAGGGGCTGCACGTAACCAACCAACCTGCCGCCAAAACAGCGGAGGTCACCAGCAATCATTGGATGAACATGAGATTTTTGTTCAATGTCTTTCAATTCTTGACTAAGAATCTCTGACCTCACCGGAACATGTAGATTCCAAACATCCATGAAATTCATGGCACTTGGAAGCTCTGAAGCTTATTTCCTTGGACCCTGCTGAGCTCAAAACCCCAGGGGGTTCTTCTTTTCCAACATCCCTTCGCAGCGCAGAAGCCTCGCCAAGCTTCTCATCTCCCATTGAGGAGGATGACCATGGGAAAATAAACAATTTTTTGCCCATGGCAGCCATGGCACACTGAAAATCGGCTAGCCCAAATTTGGATGTTTCATCATGGTTCATCATCTTTCATCAACCGCAGAATGGCGGAGAATTCCCCCATGTTGAGGTCCACTAAGGCACTGACGCCCCTTTGGGCGTGTAGAGAGGCTCCATCCATTCCCATCTCAGGATGTGCGGATGGATGAAGGGAACCTGGGCACTCGGTTTCTGAGGTTCTACCGCTACAACTCCCCGCCGTTTGGGCAACTCAGATCATCAACCCATCTTCAGGATCATAGATTGCAACTTGATTTTCCAGCGTGGTTACAAATCTATATATATATTATCTCTAAACATATAACTTGGCGCCTACCAGGTGATACCATCTTCATTTCTACATGTGTACCCGGAAATTGGCTTTGTGCAAATCCAGCATCAACCATCATCAACCATCATTAACCATCATTAATCATCACTAACCATCCATGATTTTTCAATGGGGTATCAGCTCACACTGAGTGCTGCAACTGGTCTGTACGTCCAGCCGGTGGCTTGAACTCTTTGCAGCTCCTGACGGGCTCGGGAGCGGTACCTTGTAGGGATGGAAGTGTCCAATTTTTTGGGATTTCATTCTGCGAGAAAAAACGTATCCCCTGTCCCCCTGTAGGAAAAAACACCAGCGAAATACACCAGGGCCTGGAAGATTTTCCGCAGTTTCCAAAACGTGCCCTGGATTGGTTCGACTGATCATGGATTATGACCATCTCTGTGACTGATCAGTTACAGTAGACACCCATGAAACCGTGCAACCATCACCAACCACCAGGGATTTTGAACG